TTCCCAGACGTTTCGCCGGCATCGTCAGTGAGTCTTGCCATTCGTAGCACCATATTACAATTCGTCAAAGAAACTAGTGAAGCCCATCCTTTTGACCAAACGTGTGCTAAACAGTTGTGGTATCTCCCCTTCTGCCCTGGGCTATTCAAATTTCCTATATCCTCCTATCACACCTTCACTGTCACAATTTGTAACGTGCTTATTTCGATGTGGTGTGGTGTGCTACTTCCAGCGGCAATCATGAAAACCCTTCACACTCCACACTGTCGTTCTCACCCCCCTCACCCTTGTGCTGGGAATGTTGACCAGAGTCTGTCATATTGTTACATACTCCTTCCCTGGGTCCTATCAGAGTCTCCCTCTTGCCCCGTAGAATCCGTCTGCTATCTCCCTGGTACATGTATTTCATTCGACCCCTGCCCCCCATCTGTGCTACTCGAGGCGTAATTCGTACATCCCCTGCACCTGGGTGATTGATTAGAGGCTAAAGCCTCATAGTAAGTCTCATAGTCATGCCTTTGCTACATGGACCACGTATCTTGTAAAACCTACTGTCAGCCACCTAGCTCCAATCGCCGCCTCGTCTATCCTGTCTTTATCCCTAATACCAATTCTATGACTTGCCATGTCCTAGTCGCTTGTGTGCTAACCCACAGATGTTGTGGTACTGTTGGCTTTGATTAGGTTCAATGTTGAAACACAACGTTTTTGGGTTGGCACACAAGCAACTAAGGGATGACAAGTCATAGACTTGGTTTTAGGGATAGAGACAGGATAGACGAGGCGGCGATTGGAGCATACAACGAAAGGAGACTGCGACCACACAAAAGGTCGCACCATCTTGGTCTCAATACCTTTCATTCAACAGAGATTTAATCTGACATCAGGAAAGAGCGCACCTCATATTCATCGCCTGGAACAGCATATCCACCACCTCTCTGTCGAGCAAGGCTAGGAAGATATCCCGACACTGGTCGTCCACCGTAGGCCGTCTTAGAATTATAACTATGTTCCGGCGAATAGCCCTGGTACTGAGACGGCTGTCGATAAGGTTGCTGACGATTATTTGGTGAGAAGCCCATCATTTGTGCGCCCTTAGATGCATCAGCCTGATAGCCACGGTGATTACCGAGTCCCGGTCGCCTAGAGACGATATCTTCCGACATCAGTGCTTTGCGCGAACGAGGAGGGGCTGAAACTAGCTGTCCATCAGAAAGAGCTGATTTGAGCAGGATATCAGTGCCGAGAGGCAATGCTTCAGGGTCACTGTTTCCAGATACAGCATCAAGAAGGCGTTTTGAAGCAATAGCCATTTGGTCAGTGGTATCGGTCAATGGTGCATCTGGCCTAAAGCTGGAGAAAATAAAAGCAATTAAAATTAATGAGTAGGAAATTGGAGGTGATCTTAAATGCGTATTATGCTGTGAGCTACATGAGGAAATGAAATATAAATATAGTAATTATTTATTGTTATAATTAATTAAATAGTATAGTATAAATCTTCTTAGAGAATAGATAATAGAGAAAAAATGTAATGCTTGAATAAGAACTTAGTCACCCTAGGTCGCCTAAGTTGAGTTAAGGACAGATCGAAGATATGAAGATCAAGATGGTGTGGCCCTTAGTATGATGGCAATCTCCTTTCGGTATATAAAAGTAGGATGACCTCGTTTTCGCAACCAAGCCGTGTTGTCAGAGTGACCTAGCTGGACGCATCTTGTCCAAAGTTTTCTGCTATAATAGGTATCATAATTACATTGGTTATATCACGGACTTGGTACAGTCTTGCCACTCACAGCACCAAGCTACAACTCGTCAAATAGATATCACAATTGGTTAAGGGATTGTCTTCACTTGTCTCTTTGACAAGTTGTAGCTTGGTGCTGATAATGACAAGGCATACAATGCTGACTATGATGCCAGCGAAACGTCTGGGAATGTACAAAGTCCATTGTTCGACGCTGAGAATTTTAATAACTACTATAGCAGAGGACTTCGGACAAGATGTGTCCAACTAAGTCGTCTTGACAACAAGACCCCGTTGCGAAAACAAAGTTAAACTACTTCTACTATGAGAAGACCATAAATTCCAGTGAAGTTAACCTAGCCTTGTCACCTAGAAGGCTTTGACGTTGGGCTGACCTGTCGTTTCGACTTTGCACATATCGCATTGCCATCTCAAATGAAATTCATACCAAGCCCGCAAACATAACGGCACGTTACTATTCAGCAACGCATTATGAGAGCCGGCGAGTTTTAGGGCATATGAAATGGCCGTAAATGAGTGTTAACGTTGCCGCTATATCCACACGACCTGATATCAAATCCGGTTAGAATGCCGATGAGACCTAGGCAAGATGGGACTGCCCTTGATGATAAAGGGAGGGCTATGTGAAAAATAATGATGTCTGCTTAATTCACTATGGGGAAGTTCAGCTATCAATCCAACATCAATATGTGAATGTGAATAAGGTTCTTAGTCAAGGTCTGCTCATATTTGCTAAACATGCTTCTTACTTCTATAATGATAGGTTTTAACTGGCGGCAGGTGTAGCAGTTGAAAAAGTATAATTGTAGAGAAGTGAATAAATAACGAAAGTTTGCCTACTCAGCTAAAGGAGCTGGATTCCAACAATCTTTGAAATCGGTCGCACGGTGAGCATTTGGCCCGTTCTGGCTGCAGAAAAGATTGGATGGTCTGGAGAAAAAGTCACGGAGCTCGGAGTACTGTTATTGCCGCAAAAAGAATTAAATAGTAAGGGTGCAAACAGACAAGGAATGATGGCATGGTATCAGATTTGGCCATATACAGAGGTATAAGCAATAGGAATTGAAAAATACTAAGTAATTAGCGAAAATAAACGTGGAGGTTGATCTAACTGGACCTTCTGGGAGAATGGTTGATCTTTCTAAGATCGAAAGCGTTGTTTCTAACGTAAAGCCATATTGATCTGCTAAAACTAAAAGTATTAAATAAGAAATGAGTTTAGAAAGGCATAGAGTATAATTTTAATAAAAAACAAAACAAAATACTTCTCATAAGATATGGGCTTATCATATAAATCTTTTACTTCTTGGGCTCATAACAGTTTTGAGAAAGAAGCAAAATTGTCCAAATATGTTTGGCACTACCTATAATGCAAAAAATAACTAGTATTTTGAAACTTTTTGGAAAACAGTATAATCAGAAAAATAGAGACAACTGGTGAGTTAAGGATTGTCTAAGTGCCTAAAGGATATTAACCTTCGCATTGTGGTGAAGCTTTATGACGAATATTTCATGAAGAATAGCGGCCTACTCTTTCATCAAATGTGGCAAAATATGCAGCTTGAGTCAAAATTCCGTACGCTGATGAAAATCAGCTATGAACATGCATGTATAGAAATTAGTGAAAAAACGTGCCTAACAAGCAAGAAGTCTGGATATAAATTTAGCCAGGAGTTCTATCAGACATTCATTTAAGATCAAAGGTTCACCGAACCAAACAAGAATGTGTTACCAATGTCGACATCATCAGCATTACCAGGACCATTGTCATGTAGGGAATTGGATATGAATATAATCATAGACAAATTGGTAGCGGTTAGTGTATTATGAATTATCATACCGATTTTTTTATGCTTTTTGCCCACTGAGTGAGTTGTTCAGTTGCAGTATGTTCCGCATCCAGACTCGGCCTTGCTGGTCCATTCGTTGCGGAACGTGACAGAGATCCTCCCATCTGGTTATTGGTGTATGGAGAGCGCCCTTTTTGGCGACTTGGCCGCTGCTGTCGTGCCTTTTGCTGCTGTTGAAGCTTATTGGCATAACTAGACATTGCCCAGTTCATCACTTCTGTAGATGTCATGCTTTCTTCATCCCCAGAAACGCTAGGAATTTGTCGTTTGGAGCGAAGCAGACCAAAAAAAGGCTTGTCTGTAGAAATGTTAGGGGACATTGACAAAGAGTCTTCGAAGGCTTCTACTGAGCTAGAATTCGCGTCACGACGGACCCGACTATCTCGGCTATGAAATTTCATCCAGTTCATAGGTGAAGTTGGAGAGGAGAGACTGAAAGCCCCAACATTGGAGCATTCATTTTGAAGCTAACAATCAGGGACAAAAAATGCAATGAGATTTAAGAAAGTAAAGCGATTAAATAAAAAATGTTCTATCGTTAATTGGATGGTTGTGATAGCTATCT